GAGAAAGAAATAAAAATGACTAAGATTAATTACTAGAGCTTAGGTGCCTGGGAGGGTGCTGATACCATCAGACAAATCAGAGAACAGAAAAGGAAGAGGTGGATTAAATCTAAGAGTGTGGTTCTGGCCACATCAGGGTTGAGATTCCTCGAAGACATAAATGTTAAATGCTCAAAGATCACTGGAAAACACATACTGAAAATCCAAATCTATATCTAGAGATATAGATTTGAGAGTTTCTAACATTTGGATATGCTGACTGAAGCTGTGGCCACAGAAGAGAGTACCAGGGAGAAAAGCATAATGCAGAAAAGTCCTAAAGAACCACAACAATTAATCAAGAGATGCCAATCAGACAGAAGAGAGGAGATAATACAACCCCATGGAACAATTCCATACTTCTAGAAGCTTTCTAGCTTTGGGTAAGAAAAGATGTTTTCACATCTTAAACATCTTTTCACTTGTTAAAACATCTTTTATTATGACTATTTAGGATTAATACAGGTAACTTGAAAGCAGAGGCAGTAAACATAGAATGGCAAGAAGATAAAGGGAAATTATGCTGAAAAACTAAAAAGCTAGTGGTAACAAGAAAAAGGAACACTGGATTAAAGGAGAAAGCTAATTCCAAGATGAGAAAAATAAAGGGACAGAAGAAAACTATTATTCATTGAGTATCTAGTATATGCTATTAACTGTCCTAGGAGATTTCAAATATTTTACCTTATTTAATTTTCATAATATTCTCAATACTATGAGATAAATAGTATTCCCATTTTAAAAGAGCAGGCTGAGGCATACCTGTTAAGTAACTTATCCCAAGCCTTGCATCCAGTCCACTTGTACATGGCAGGTTCAGAATTAGAACCTAGGTGGAAGGACCACAGCCCTTGACTTTCCCTTCATACTTCTACTTATTAAACTGGTAAAAGCAAGACTTTTCAAAAGGAGAAGGAAAGAAACCAATAATAACTGTACTAGGAGAAAATCAGGACAATCATTACCTGTCTCACTACAATAGAGCTACTTCTTTTAGAAAGTGTAAAAGGAAAAACAAAAAAAAGTAACACCAAAAATTCTCTTTAAATCCCAGAAAACAGATATAATTAGTGACAA